GAACTCTCTTCTAGAGATAGTACAATCTCTTTTGTATAGCTGTATTATTGTTAGAAAGCCCTTTCTCCTCCAAAGGGCAGACATTTGATTCTGTGATTTTCCCCAGGGATCCTAGCAGTCCAGATTACATTCCTTCCTTTGGAGGAACAGATGGCCCCCCTAATTGTGAGGAAATGTAGAATGGCCTCTTTTCTGGGCCCCAGAGGTTGCAGTTCTCTGTGGTGCCTCTGGGACACTGGGAGACCCTAGAATTGTCCTGGAGAAGGGCAAGAGATAAGTGGATCTGGGATCTAGGAAGAGGAAGGAAGCCAGTCTGGAGGATAGGTGGATACAAAGCACTTTGAAATTAGTTATTTCTTTGGTTCTCATAGAAAGCAGGCAACACAGAGGTTATTCCTATTTTACAGGTTCAGAAACTCAGCCTAAAGAGGGACAGTGACTTGCGTGGGGTCACAGAGCCTATTAGTGTTAGAATCTCCTACTCCCATAAGAACCTATGGACTTCCTAGTCACTTCCCACATTCACTGATTTTGATCCCTGGCCCACAGTCTTCTCTACTCCAAGCACTTATCACCTACAGTTGCCCTCATCTGAAAGATGTTATGCTCTGCAGCCTCTGAACACTGTCTCCTGTACTTCAACCCCTGCCCCTATATCTGCTACTGTACCTCATTAGAGACTTCTCTTCCTTTGACTGCTCCCTTTTTCAATCTGACATTTGCCTCCTGGCATCACTTTCTTTCCCTGTTGGTACCATATGCTCCCTTCACATCCTCACGCCTTCTTTTGCTTAGTTTTCCTGATCATCCTCCCTGATACCCTCACATCATCAACCCATTAAATATTTGGCTTCTGTGCTCCTCTAACTAGGTTCTCACTTCCAACCGTGCCCAAATCCTAAACTACCCACTGATCAGGTTTTTCTCCAGTTCCCTACATTAGCCTTCCCAAACCTTCCCCTTTCTTCTCTTGTCTCCTACTCCCTACTCTTATCCCTCTCCCCCTGGACCCCCAGCCATTGGCCTTATCTCCTACTTCACAGGGCATATAGAAGCCATCAGAGGGGAACTTCCACAGGTTCTTGTTCCCTGAAACTCTGGGAAGGCTCC